TAATTTTTTTCCCCTCATCTTGGTGCCCATGGAAATGAGTTGTCAATTCCATCCATATGGCTTCTTAGAACACTACCAACGTCTTTCTTTCACAGTCTCATCAGAACATGAATTACAATTCTTTTAGAAAGGTAGTTAAGGCTTCTTTCAGAGTGAATTGATGACTTTCTTCGATTCTAGTCTTAACATAATTGCTCTACAAACCATCTTATGGTTACTATTTAATTTTGCCTGAAACACTGATTTCAAAACTTTGACTAGTTACATTATGGCATTTTTTATTTATTAAAGGTGCACCTGCACGAACTGTTGGTTGGCGTGATCCTGGTTTCTTTCATACGAGTTTCCTACAAAACTTATGGCCAAACACTGTGTATGTATCAATGATTGTAGCTATTGGTCTGTACCATTATTAAAATCCTGCTCATGCACACTAAGGATTGTCACGTTGGTTTCAACAGGTACACGTACAGACTGGGTCATCGCTTGTTTAGTGGCTCATATATTTGGAGCAAGAGCTATTCATTCAGGTCATCACCGCATCCTGGAGAAGAATCATTACAGCGTGTCATTATATTTGGTGATATGGGGAAGGTACATAAAGTATTTAGTTACATTGATTTATACAAATTGAGAACGAGGTTGATAATTTAGAGGAAAAGGTTGAAATTCAACGAAACTGAAATTTCTGAACTTCAGTTAATTAACTTAATTTCGGCTCCACTTTGTGACCTATGTTTATTTCTTGTATTGACTTGACAATTCTCTATATTCTTGAGAGGACGCTCCATAACTGCCTTCACATTTGAGGGACAAGTAACATTTTGAATAATTCGAAGAAACTTGGTTATAACACAAATGATTTTTTTGTAAAGGAACAACCCAATCCTTTCTTGTCCTGCCAGTTCAGTTGCCTTTGTTTCACAGGTAACTGTAAAAAAGATATAACAGAATTATCATCCAAACCCTTTGAACTTAGAATTCAAATGCAGCTCTTTCCACATCGAATTTCTCGAGTTGCTCAAATTTTGTTTATGGTAATCTGACGAAAATAAGCTTGTCGAACAAGGCACTGAAAAAAGTTTTTCTGACTTTCAGGGACAACGTGATGGCTCAAATGAGTACAGCAACTATCAACCCGGAGCATTGAACACCACTGACCAGCTCATCAAAGACTTGGACAACATTGACATTGTCTTTCATATCGGAGACCTATCTTATGCAAATGGGTATCTCTCACAGTGGGACCAATTCACTGCGCAGGTGGAGCCCATTGCATCTAGGGTCCCCTACATGGTTGCAAGGTTATCAATATCAATAACTCGATTTTTTTCCAAGCGAATGATTTTTTACCATCTACTTGATAATCTTAAGGGTCTCCAATTTCACTCCTGCAGTGGTAACCATGAGCGTGACTGGCCGAATACCGGGTCCTTCTATGCAAACATGGATTCGGGTGGGGAGTGCGGAGTTCCAACGGAGACCATGTTTTATTTTCCTGCCGAAAACAGAGCAAAGTTCTGGTAAGCCACGAATTCTTTTGCATGATCTATTGCAATGCTGGTTTTTATAAGTTGTTTCACAAATAAACTGTTCACTGGCTTTAGATTCGTTTTAGATTACAAAAATATCTTTCTCTGCCGTCTTCAAAATAACTATCCAATCGGACGGCTTAATTTTGTTAAATTGTCTCTTCCAAAAAACAAACATGATCTAACAATAATATTAACTGACATTTCTTGTCATAAATTAGATCAAAAAATAAATAATGAAACATGTTCGTTATACATGTAATTTGTCTGTTGAATAGACAGTTTCAACAATTTTTTCCGGATGAAAAACACAGATAGTTTCAGCACTATTTATTAAACTATGATGCTGAAAGAATATTTTACTATATTTTCCGCTTTTTATTGAATATCTCAATGCAATTTGTGAAGCATTTCATACATGATGAAAATGGTTTCAGGTATAAGACAGATTATGGATTATTCCGGTTCTGTATAGTAGACTCTGAACATGACTGGCGAGAAGGCTCAGAACAGTACAGATTCATAGAGCATTGCCTTGCATCAGCGGATAGACGAAGACAACCTTGGCTGATATTTGCTGCTCATCGTGTGCTTGGCTACTCTTCCAACGATTGGTATGCGTTGGAGGGATCATACGAAGAACCCATGGGAAGGGAAAGCCTACAGAAACTCTGGCAGAAGTACAGGGTTGATATCGCCTTCTATGGCCATGTCCATAACTACGAAAGAACATGTCCAATTTATCAGGTAAACCACTTTTCCCAATCTATTTTTAAAAAAGTTATTGAATCCGGGTCAAATTTCTAAAAAGTTTATTTTTACTCATCTGTTTTTAAGACTTCAAACTTCCGTGAACTTATAAAATCCAATCTTATTTTCGACAAAAAAAAAAAAGCATGGATTTTTTTTAGTGAAAGAAACAAGTTATATGAATGCTTTCCTTTTCAAAACAGAAGTTTTTAGAACGGAAGTTTGAGATTTTAATTTTAATTTTAATTTTAATTTTTTTTTTGCTATGGTTTCAAAAAGGATTCCGAAAGAAAATTAGACAACGAAGCAAATGCCAGTAAATGAATATAATTTACAGAAATGAAAAACTTCAAAAGAATGCCTAACCATATTATCTTTTGAACATCTTGATAGAATTTTTGAAATCTACTTTTGCGAATTTTTAAAATTTGCTATGATTTTTAAAATTGATAATATATTAAAATACTCAGAAATTAGTTTATAAATAACTATGAATTCTAAAAGTAGAATGTCCAAGACAAACCCCCCATAGGACAGCGTCATTATTTTAAAACTCTACATCTTTTAATAATAAAAAAGAATAGTGGTTAGATTTAGACATTTTATTTAAGAGGGGTAGACAAGAATGTGGATGAACATGAGTCAATAGCATAATTTTTTAAGGAAAATCCATATCATGCCTTTATTCTAAACTTTGTTCGTCATTATGTTTTTTTGGTGCTCGTGTAGAATCAATGCGTGAATGAAGAAAAAAGTCACTATTCGGGCACTATGAATGGCACAATCCACGTGGTTGCTGGCGGAGCAGGGAGCCACTTATCCGCATTCACCAAGGAAATCCCCAAATGGAGTCTATACAGAGACTACGATTTTGGTTTCGTAAAGTTGACGGCATTCGACCGTCACTCTCTGCTTTTCGAGTACAAGAAAAGCAGCGACGGTAAGGTGTATGATTCCTTTACCATTTCAAGAGACTACAGAGACGTCCTGGCCTGTGTTCCCGACAGTTGCGAACGCACAACTATGGCCGCCTGAACTTGGACTTTCTCCTCTTTCATGTGCTAGTTGCATTGCATATATCGTCTCCCTGAAATATGGTAGTTATGTTTATTTAGATAATAATTAGATAATGCAATCACAGGGACTCTCTCCTTTTGTTCTCAAGGTTCTTAGTCTGCATTTCAATTTTTAAAATTTTAAAATTTTATATTTTAGCCTTTAAAATTAGGATAAGAGTAAACAATTTTTTGGTCCCGATAACTCTTTTAAAAAACAAACCATAATAGTATTTCCTTTTTCTCCCTCCCGATGCCGTCAAAAAATAGACTGTCGGCGAAAAAAGAAAAAAGATTTTAATTTTTAAAAAATTAAAAATATATTTTATTTTGTAAATTTTAAAACGTATTTTTTAAAATAATTTGAAATGTATTTATTTTGAGGAATTAAAATAAATTAAAAATATATTTTATTTTGAAAATTTTAAAATGTATTTTTTAAAATAATTTAAAAAGTATTTATTTTGAGGAATTAAAATAAATTAAAAATATATTTTATTTTGAAAATTTTAAAACGCATTTTTTAAAATAATTTAAAATGTATTTATTTTGAGGAATTGAAATAAATTAAAATATATTTTATCTTGAAAATTTTAAAACGTATTTTTTAAAATAATTTAAAATGTATTTATTTTGAGGAATTAAAATATAATATTTATAATAAAGAATTACATCAACTTCGTTAACGGAAAAACTAGACAGAACAACCAATATAGAACTACATACCAAAATGAAATAATCCAAAATTCAGGAATGAAAAGTGTAATTTCAGTTAGTCCAAAAAATTATAATTTCATGCACTCATTTAGTTAATGTCTAAGCTAAGTCACGAAAGTATTCTTATTTAGATTAAGGGCTTAGAAAAGTACTTACAAAGTCATTTGTGTCTTTTTTAGAAAAGTATACTTATTTTATTATTATTATATTTTTAATAAAAATTCTTTCAAAATTGTTTTAAAATCATAGTTAAATTTTGAAAACCAAAACCGACTGTAACATTGTTTAATAAAAAACAAAAGGAACTGTTCTTTTCAACAATAAATTTTACGAACCACTTCCTTAATAAGCTTCAACTTTAATCTGATGTGCTAATTCAGTTTTGTTGGTTCTAAATTGATTTTATGGGCTGATATCGAAAAAAAAAAACGATCAAATCATAGAACTTTAATTTACAAGGGGTTGGAGTATCGTGGTCGAGTGTGCTAGGTGGAAAGTAAAGACCATGTATTTAAAGATAATATTGGCCTTTCGTTTTCTACTTTTTAAAAATTATTCTCATAGGCGTACTAATATTTTAAATATACATGCAAAATCGCTTTATAATCATAGTTGATTTTTGAAAAAATAGCCTTCTGCTGCTTTTAAAATTAAAACAGAAAAAGAAAAATAGTCTTGAATAGAAATTATAAAGTTAGTTTTCAGAACTGAAAATCAAAAAAGAAAAATCGAAGAGACTTGCATCTATTTAACAGACAATTTTACTAACCTATCACGCTCTCAATTTTTTTTTAAAATATTTTAGAATTACCCTGTTTAAAAACCATTATTAAAATGTATCAAATATCGAACACACAATGGTCTCGTTTTGTAAACTTAATTACTAAAGCGATCTAATTGGAAATTGATGGGTGTAAGCAAAAGATACTTTATTGGCGTACCTGAAGAACCTCCAGAACTGATTGTCGTTCCTTTCATTGATTGTTGTAGAAACAATTTGTTGTGCTTAAGCCAGCCAGCCTTTAAGTTGTCGACGTCGCTAAGCTGAATACATACTTCAAGCAAAATGTTTCTATAGTGAATTTTCAAACCACTATGAGGAAGCAAATGGAACTCAAATAATAAGAGGATACGTTCCACAGTTGTTAAAACTTACCCGTAAATTGAAAACCAACTCCAGAATCCTTGATGAAAGGTCAGCAGCACCTGAAGGTTGCTTGTCCATTTAAGACAAAAAAAATATATATATATATATATTTGAGTCGTTTGTCACGATACTCGCAGCTTACAATATATTGAATCCGATGAATTATCACAAATGTTCACTGTAAGGGATTACCTCTGAAAGGACTCAGTAGTTTGCAGCGAAGGATTCACCAACTTTTCAACTTGAACCTTTTCGGTTTCAAGCATAGAGTAAGTATTTCTCAACTTGATTCAACAGAAAGCTGCCTGAGTTTCATGCAGGAAAATGTCTAGCTCCGCCCCTAGGGCTATCGACAACTATCCAACAATTTCAGTAACATTATCTTCTCCAATCATTCGATGATTGATGGGTGATAATGGATAATCTATGCTTAAAAGTGAGCAACGAGCCGCGTATTGAAACACAACCTGCATATGTGGTTTCCATAAATGGCTAGAAACAAAGTAAACAAATAACAGCGCACAAGTATTCTACCTAAAATTATGATCTGCTGGATAAATTCATGGCATTTAAAAAAAACGGCAGTAATTATTAATCATAAAACTAATTGTCAATTAGTTTTTATGAATATGATTTGACCCTACAAGTATGATATTTAGCACAATTTCTAACCTTGGAGTAACTATCCTCGAGCTCGATTGACCTTGCCAGTGTAAAGTAAATCTACCCTCTGAATCCTCCCGTCCACAATGGTCAACCCACAATCAACAATGATAAATCGAAATAGATTACCTGAAGACAAACCCTAACTGAAAATTCAAGAAATTCTGGTATTTACTTGCTGACAAAGAAGAAACCTCAAATGTTGGTAAATAACAACAGAAAACCTGCATGCATGAAACTCGTGGCATTGACCAAAATGGGCTATTGAAGTGAGTTAAACAAAAATCTCCTCCCAGAACCCCTCCCATACTCGTCTACCCCCTCTTGATCCTTCCCAACAGTATGTCTCATGAGATACCAAATAAACACGTTAACCATAAAAGTCTAGTCAAAGAAGAGGACGCAAAATGTCTTCAACATAAAATGATAAGCTACAAACATCCGTAAGAATCTAAACCAAAGGATAAAAAGAGAGTAGAGTGACCAAGGGATATCATAGCAGGGGAGCCAAATAAGTGAAAAGAAATGAAGTAATTGAGAAGGGATGTATGTAACAGAAAGGGAGACCAAAATATGAGATGCAAAGAGAGAGAGAGAGATGCCAATATCAACCAACAGTTTCTTCAGCTAACACAATCCCCAATAACAACATTAAAACTAAGATATGGTGACATAGGTACCATGCCGAATTACACAACAAACCAACAAGGACAGAAAGAAGACATAATAACCACAGACCTCATTGCAAGCAAAAATGTAGTCGAAGGAAGCAACATGTAATAAACAAAAGAATTTTAAAACTAATGAACCATAGAAAGGGTTAAATTTGGATCAACAAAACCTTTTCGATCAAGTCACCATCTAAGCAACCAATGTCCACAGAAGGATCATCTAATTTAGCACCCTTTCCATCACCTTGTAGCTCCAAAACCAGCTGATCATTCAAATAAGGCAGTATTGGCATTATAAACTGCATGAGAGAGATAGAGAGAGAGATAGAGAGAGAGAACAGATCCATGTCGTATCACAAAAATGGACCATTGACCACTGCAATTGACTAGAAACTAAGATAGTGGCAACATTATTTATAAAAAAGAAAAAGAAAGGAAGAAAATAATTGCAGACATTCATATAGTTTTTTTTTTTAATAACAAGAAATGCAGAGATAAAGTACCTGCTGTTGGCTTGGAACTTGTCCATTTTATCTGTGTCAATAACATATCGACTGCAATTCTCATCCTTCCAGACCAATGCAAGTGGTGTACCTGGCTGGTAATGGGAATGCCTAGAACAAAGACAACTTCTTAATACGTGATGGATGAAGTTATACCTTGTAAGCATAGAAACAGATTCATAAAATGAAAGAAATAACTTAACAAGAAGAACAGAGCATAGCAATTATCAAGCATAAGCATCATAACATTATAACTTGAAAATTGTTAAATATGTAATTCTACATGTACATAAGGAGTGTTCCACAGGTTTCAAAATATTCCAATACAAGATAACAGAGGTTATCAACTAAATGAAAAATTATACATGAAATTAAATAAAATTAAAACCTCATTTAAAAGGAGAAGGAGAACTCGCAATGTATTAAATCATTGCTTGATGATAAATCTTACATGTAAAATAATAGATCATCCTTGACAAAAGGTATGGCTCCTGTATAAGCGACATAGAGACTATTTTGATGGCATGTATATACAGGTATCGAGCTGAATTTATATTCGTGATACTATGAAGGTGGCTCACAAGCACCAGTTTCAACAAGCTTGGAATTGAGCCAGAAGAAGCGAAACTCAGCTGTGTAATCATAAAGAGAATATCCGCGTCAACAAATCATATCAATGACGTAGTACGTTTGTCCATCTACAGGACATTCAAACCTTTACTAATCAATAAAAAAACGTGGACTATGAAATGGCATAGGAATTACGAGAAACTTACTTCATGAAATATACAATATAGAATAGAATATGTTTGACCGGATCCAGAGGCATTTTTTTGTCTTTGCTCCGTTCGGTAGAGCAGAAGGAAAACGATGCAGAATTGATCCATTTCGTAGCCTGCTGATAGTTGTTCCGTTTGAAGAAACTACAAAGCATCGTTTACCGGAAGGCCTTGCAAGTACGCATCTACAAACATCCAAAGCACAACAGAAACGTCAACCTCAGCTTCGATCATTCGAATCAAATTCATTGAGAAATTAAGATTCTCTCTTTTTCCTTTTCATTTTCTGAATCCTTGTTGATGTAAGAATCAGACATTTGTGCAACCAGAAAGCTCTATGGTGAGGAGGATCAAACACTCCAACAAACAAACAAAAATGAGCAATCAAAATTAAGCTCGGTATACAATTGGCCAAGCACCGGAAGCGAGTGAGAATGGAACAACCGGAGAGATTTGAATTTGAATGCGAACATGCAGTTATGAGCAAAAAACAGTGCTCATAAAACCAATACCAAAGCCGCGATGATCAGATGAGGCATCGCGTAAATAGAAACAAGATCCAAGCCGAAGTAGTAGTTGAAGAAAACATAAGCGTAAATAGATAACTTAACATTAGTAACAAAGAGATGAGAAGGAATTATAACCAGTCTTCGCCAAGCCGATCAGGAACATCTATCATGCACTCAGGAAGCAACAGTTGCTTCGAAAACCACTTACGAGCCTCTGAACCTTTGAGCTTCAAAGCCTGGAGCACATCGAGATCTATCAGAGCAGGCTCGTTAAACTCATCCTGCGGTAGTAGCTCCGACAATCAGTCTGTTTCGGATTCGAGTTCGTTTAGTTCAATTTCCAGCACCGGCTCAGAGGTAATAGGCTGGTTAAATGTGGATGAGAGGGAGAGGAGCGTGGAGGCTAAGGAGCGGGCTTGTTGCTGAGCGTCGCGGCGCTTCTGCAGTTTCCGTTGCAAAGAAAGTTCCCGCTGGTTTTAATGGTCGGAGATCGCTGGCCGTCTGTGTGGAAAGCGAATGCGCGGTGCCATCTTCGCGCTAAAACTCAACTATCGAAATGAAGGCAGTCTCCAGTTCGGCTTCCGAGATATCGTATATTAACCGCCCGGGAAGAAATTCCATAATTTAAATTATTTAATATAATATTGGGCCCTCAACATTATGGGCTTTTGGGCCCAGTTCCAGATGAGCGGTAGTCTATGACTTCAGCAGAGTTAAAAAGGAGCTATATTTCTCGTAAAAAAACAATAAAATTTTAAAATAATTCATTTTTCTATAAGCACATTTAAAAAATATAATAATTTATTTATTTCATCTTACATGTAATAAACATATAGATAGAAAACAATTGTCCAGATCAAATCCTAATTAATCTCACTATATTTAGAAGTAAAGTTTATTTTTCTTTTTCATTTGTCTAATTTGTATTTATTATAAAATATGATATTCAAAGTAACACGTTTTATTTATTTAACTTGTAATGCTTTAGAATGAAAAATTAAGCTCTAATTGGTCGATTAAAACTTTTTTATTAGTTTCCTATTTTTAAAATTTATGTTTTCTTTACTATTCTTTAAAAAAAAAAAATAGCTTGATTTTTTAAAAGAATTATAAATAGAGTTAACAAAACAAAGAAACAACTATTGTTAGCTTAATTTTAAACTAAGTAACCATAAAACATTACATTTATATTTTTAGTTTTTTAATCCTTTTTTGTTACCGGTATTTTTAAAATTGAAGTTAAGATTTTAAAATTAAAATTAAAAAAAAAAAAAGAGAGAGAGAGAGAGAAAGAAAACCATAATTTTTAGGTAGCACATGGAACGTCGATAGATAAGAGCAATAGCAACTACCGGAGATAAAGTATTATTTTTATATTATTTAATGGGAGAAAATGGGGGGGGGGGGAGGGGG